CTAAACAAAATAACAGTCTAACAGATGCGAAAACCTTTCGATGTCTTGTAGCTGTCTGACCATGTTTTCACAGCTTGGCCATGTTGGCAGAAAGATCTGGGGGTTGCACGTTGCCTGGAGTCCATAGAATGCATGACAATCGCCATGAAGGTCCCCCTACAAGGCTTTTATCACCATCGCAGCCTATGATAACTAGAACTCTTATTCGGGAATTATTGACAGTCTTGAAACATACTTCCTGTGAACATGCTCCTCTCTGGTGAGGAGGCTGGTTTGCAAATAAGGCCGTTGTGCTTGGACTGGACCCGGCTGGCCCTAACTTACGACGTCAATCCGATCCAAAGAATGGTTCAACTTTCCATTTCGAAGCAAGAGTTGGCTGGAAGAAATTCGTCAATCAGTCTTATTGGAAACCTAAGAAGGCTAGAATGCCGTGAAGTGAGGATTGTTGAATCGTGTAATATGACATACAATCAGAGCGAGAGACCATGGCGCAAAAATACACTACTCTAAGCTTCACTCAACGCAGGTTAATCCGAGAACTTCTTCGAAAAGTCCAACGGTTTTCATTCCACGGTGGTCAATGCTGCCTTGGTTTACAGCGAGACAAACAAACTAAATTCCTGGCGTACCTTTCATTTCGTTTCAGAAGGCGGGTCAAAGGGATTCGTAGATTGGCCGTCAGCCGACCTCGGCTCACCGTCCTACGACCCTGATGACTCCGTGCTGAGCTTTCGTCCGGTATGTGACGGACATCGTCAGAGCCAAAAACCATTATTCATGAAAAAATCACCCAAAAACACTAAACCAAGAATGATCGTAGGACGGTGAGCCGCAGTCTTCTTCGCACAATTCAACAGACAACAGGCCAAGGTAACCTTTATGCGGTATCCGGTGCGGCCAATCTACGAATCCCTTCGGCCCGCCTTCTCAAACGAATTGAAAGGTGCGTTGTTGGGGGGTTCTTCGAAACCCAGCTTCTCTTCATACCTCATCTGCCGGTACCAACAGAGGATAGACTCTCACCTGAGCCAGCTGCTCCATCAGACTTGGGGCTGGCGGAGCCGTAGATAGGGCGGGCAGATGAGAGGCCGCGGTCTCGAGCTCGAGGCCAGCCATGAGGCCGGGCCCAACCGGTGGCGGCCAGACGGACGAGGCGACAGTGTGGACGGCTGGTTGGCTGGCTGGTGCCGAACCGGCTATAGAGACAGTTTCGGCGGTCGCCGTGGAGACAGGGTCGAGGGCGGGAGTTGAGTGTGTGAGGGTTGCGGACGTGGAGAAAGCGGATACCGTGGCCGGTGAACTGGCCATCGGGCGAACGGACTGGTCACAACCCTTCTGCCAGTTGGAGGCTGGTTTGGCCGAGAACTCCGTCCGGCGCTGACCACGGACGCCAGGTCCGGGAGCCTCGAAGGAGGAGTCTGAGAGCAAAAGTTCAACCGCACTTCAGGCACCCGCTGGGGCGCAATAAACCAGTGAGGCCGGTGGAGACGGCAGGAGTCGTCGTCCAGGCGATGACAGCTGATCAGGCGGCCAGAAGAGCATTGGTCCTGGGCAGCCGGCGCAGGCGATCGCCGGCAAACAACGCCTGACAGGAGGCCGCCCGGCCCAGAAGCCAAGCTCTAAGTCCTCCCGGAGGCCTCTGTCTGCTGCCGGTCGTCTTCGCTGTCCTCGATGTCACGGCCTGATTTGGACAGCCGGGAGCGGATTAGGGGTTGTTTGTTGATGGACAGACGAATCGGACTGATGCAACGGAGCCCACGAAGCCTAGCAACAGAAGAAATTAGCGATCCAAGAGGAAGAAGTGGGGCAGTTCTGCATTTCAATCACAAGGCGAAACCTCATCGACGAGGCGAGAGCTCATGGGCACCGTATTACAAGAGAGCCACCGGCTGGGGAGTAGTACAGAAAGGAAGGAAAAAGGACAAAACTGAAATAAAGAAATACGTTTTTGATGTTTTTTCTTAAACCGTTCTTCTTTCCCTGTATAGAAGTGGTTTGGCCTTGTTTCCACAACTTGATCGTGCTGCCAGGACGATCTAGATTAAGGCATCTTGTCCGGAGTTCTATTCCTCCATAGTCATAATAATTAACATGGTCGGATCGTGAACTCGGTAAATTGCCACACATCGGTATCGTCAGTCAGTCAGGCTAGTCTTAGCGCCAACTCGTCTCTGACGCATTGTAGTGCGGTGCTGAAAAGGGCACAGCTGACTGACGATGCAGACTATGATGCCTGCGAAACGTTTAGGAATGTAGCAAATTCACGGTCCGATGCTGGAGCCTACTATCATGACTACTCGGGCAGGGATCTCAGACAAGGTGAGCTCATCTAGGTCGCCCTGACAATACGACCAAGTTGAGAAAACTAGGCCAGGCCGCTTTATTATGCTTTTAATTAAAA